AGCCGGTTACTCAACATCCTGATCGGCCCGGCTGCAAGGTGTTGGACTAGCCTGAGGACGCAGGGAGGAAGACGTTACTACCTCACTCCCACTGCTTCTGCACGCAGTAAGTTCCTTTGGAGCAGCATCATATTGAAAAATGCGCCAGCGGTCACAGTCAGCCGTTGGGCGACCGCAGTGTGCGGACTTTGGGGCCGACCTTTTTTGACTTGTCTTTTATTAGAAGGCAACATCGCTGCCTCCCAGAATATGGACATGATGATCACCTGGGTGAACAGACAGAAATATCGGCACTAGGACTCCAGTAGATGCCTCGAGTGAACGCTGACATCCGACACAGGACAATCAGGCAAGCATTGAAGGGCCTGGTTGTGGTTCTTTTCTCGTTTTCTGGATTCATGAGCTAAGCGAAGGGTTTACATTGTGCGCAGACCTGAGAAACGCAATGGAAAGCACCAAATGACAGGTGCGTGATCGGATTCCTAGGAAGAATGCCAGTGATCGATTCTCACCACCGGTAACTGATGACATTGGTGTAGTTAGGTCTGAAACTAGTTCGTTAATAGGTACCACGAGATGACAATGGTTAAGGGCGTTTCCGACGGACAGCATATATCAATAACGAGGCTACCTGGCGTACGAGCAAGAGCCACTTATCCTCACGCTCATTTCGGAGTGTGAAAATTAAGGACATATCAACCTGACGCCAAGTGAAACTGAGTGTCTGTGCAGATCGAGAAGTTCGGTGGAACCGAAAGGTTAAGGAAATGGTAGAAGCGAAAAAAAAAGATAAAATCGCCCACAAGCTGTTTGACGTGATTCGTTCGACTGTTCCTCAGAAGCCTCTTTCTTGTCAGCGGAACTATCGGGGACAAAAGTGGCACTATGACATCCAGCAAAGCATAACGTTTGGACTACTGAGCACTATACTCCGAACAAACGACTTGGCCACCTACTACCTCCATTTCGGAATGCCGGCCATCAACAGAAGGGTGAACTGTGAATATGGAACTCCCCTAAGCCCCAGAAGTGTCCGTGCGTACACACCTATTCAAACGTCGGTATACTCCTGCTCCTGACGACCCCCCAACAGTTCTGTTTCGGCGGGACAGTCAGGGCCACTCCAACCTCTTTGCAACTATCTGGGAGAATCCTCCAAACAACTGGGGTGAACCTACAATGGTGTAGCCTCGAAAAAGGTACTCGCAATGAATGCTGTAACCACAGACGTACCACTTTGAATACTGTTGTAACAAGGCTTCTGACGTCAGTGATTCTTCGGCGAATTACGGTGGCACGCGAAATCTTGACTTGTGAGAATCCAGCGTTATTTCGACCGCGTAGATGCTGCGTCGACCACACACACTCCGTTAGGGATTAGAGCAACGCCACATGTAGAGACAACCACAATATTGGTGTTGCTTGACTCCAAGGATCATTTGATCTTGTGAGTACACGTCGACTACACGTAGTCGACGGTGTATGTCCCAGAACTTGGCGAACATAATTCGGTCTCCATATTCGTATACTTCGACGCAGGATGGCTGTGGTTAGAACAACCACAAGGCAGAATTATTCAGATTATTTAATATTGTTTGATTCACGACGGGGTTAGATCCAAGAAGAGCTATGTCGTCTGCGTACTCGGTGTCTGTGAGCGGAGGCCCAGGGAGCACTTCGACCCCACAGGCATTAAAGGCTGGTAGTGTCTTCCATGATCGTATCAATGACGAAGTTGAAGAGGAAAGGTGAAAGAGGACAACCCTGTCGGACACCGCTTGCTGCGATGAACTCAGGAGAGAGCTTCACGTATACCTTTACGACCCGGAGCCGGTTACTCAACATCCTGATCGGCCCGGCTGCAAGGTGTTGGACTAGCCTGAGGACGCAGGGAGGAAGACGTTACTACCTCACTCCCACTGCTTCTGCACGCAGTAAGTTCCTTTGGAGCAGCATCATATTGAAAAATGCGCCAGCGGTCACAGTCAGCCGTTGGGCGACCGCAGTGTGCGGACTTTGGGGCCGACCTTTTTTGACTTGTCTTTTATTAGAAGGCAACATCGCTGCCTCCCAGAATATGGACATGATGATCACCTGGGTGAACAGACAGAAATATCGGCACTAGGACTCCAGTAGATGCCTCGAGTGAACGCTGACATCCGACACAGGACAATCAGGCAAGCATTGAAGGGCCTGGTTGTGGTTCTTTTCTCGTTTTCTGGATTCATGAGCTAAGCGAAGGGTTTACATTGTGCGCAGACCTGAGAAACGCAATGGAAAGCACCAAATGACAGGTGCGTGATCGGATTCCTAGGAAGAATGCCAGTGATCGATTCTCACCACCGGTAACTGATGACATTGGTGTAGTTAGGTCTGAAACTAGTTCGTTAATAGGTACCACGAGATGACAATGGTTAAGGGCGTTTCCGACGGACAGCATATATCAATAACGAGGCTACCTGGCGTACGAGCAAGAGCCACTTATCCTCACGCTCATTTCGGAGTGTGAAAATTAAGGACATATCAACCTGACGCCAAGTGAAACTGAGTGTCTGTGCAGATCGAGAAGTTCGGTGGAACCGAAAGGTTAAGGAAATGGTAGAAGCGAAAAAAAAAAGATAAAATCGCCCACAAGCTGTTTGACGTGATTCGTTCGACTGTTCCTCAGAAGCCTCTTTCTTGTCAGCGGAACTATCGGGGACAAAAGTGGCACTATGACATCCAGCAAAGCATAACGTTTGGACTACTGAGCACTATACTCCGAACAAACGACTTGGCCACCTACTACCTCCATTTCGGAATGCCGGCCATCAACAGAAGGGTGAACTGTGAATATGGAACTCCCCTAAGCCCCAGAAGTGTCCGTGCGTACACACCTATTCAAACGTCGGTATACTCCTGCTCCTGACGACCCCCCAACAGTTCTGTTTCGGCGGGACAGTCAGGGCCACTCCAACCTCTTTGCAACTATCTGGGAGAATCCTCCAAACAACTGGGGTGAACCTACAATGGTGTAGCCTCGAAAAAGGTACTCGCAATGAATGCTGTAACCACAGACGTACCACTTTGAATACTGTTGTAACAAGGCTTCTGACGTCAGTGATTCTTCGGCGAATTACGGTGGCACGCGAAATCTTGACTTGTGAGAATCCAGCGTTATTTCGACCGCGTAGATGCTGCGTCGACCACACACACTCCGTTAGGGATTAGAGCAACGCCACATGTAGAGACAACCACAATATTGGTGTTGCTTGACTCCAAGGATCATTTGATCTTGTGAGTACACGTCGACTACACGTAGTCGACGGTGTATGTCCCAGAACTTGGCGAACATAATTCGGTCTCCATATTCGTATACTTCGACGCAGGATGGCTGTGGTTAGAACAAAAATTCACTGACCGGAAGGTCCGTGGTTCGAAACCGACCTCTGCATCTCAACTTCCCCAGTCTATGCTTCAGCTACCTGGAAGTATTCCAGCCCGCGTGCTTCCCTCGGAAGGCATGGCAGCTGGAATCCGAAAGGGTGTTACGGCTGAACGATTATTATCATTACTCACATACTTCTGGGCGTGTATGGTGAGCTCCTCAAAAACTTCTCTAGAACAAGTGGTGTCCGACAAGGATGTCTACTCTCTATTCACATTCACGCTGCAAGTCCTTCGAAACCTGTGTCCAAATCGTTGCTGATGAGATCTGTGTCAACAGGGAGTGGCCGGACGAGATGATAATATAACCGTACAGCTGTAGAACCCTTTCTGTGCCTAGCTGCCACGCCAACGGGAGGGGCTGGGATAATGCCAGGTTGCGAAGACTAGACAGAAGTCGAGATGTGGAGGTTTAGTTGGAGCCACAAAGCTTCCGGCCAGTACACTCTCGCTCTAACCACTGACCCATCTCGTCCCCAGGACGTCCGGACTTTCACCAAGGGACTCTCACATACGATAATTTCTCTTGCTTTTGACTCGCTCCCACTTCGCAGTGTATTTATTTTTATACGTGTCGCAACCATACTAAAAACTTCCATTAGTGCACATACACCTGGTTTGTGTTATGGCCATCCGCACAAATTATTGGGTTTTTTGCACTAATAAGTCTTTACTGTGGTTGACAGTAGTTTGCAGAGGCGATTTGCAGCATGTATAAAATAAAGAGCAATACAAAATGTGGAGCAAGTCAACAGGCATCGCAAGAAACAGCGCCTGATCGATGCCAACGGCGTCCTTTGGCAATTTCTTTTCAGCCTATCTGACTGGGCGCTTGAAGGTGTAAGGGCCTCAGAATGCTTGCGACCGTCCGGCTCAAAGTTCTCTCACTTTCACTTGGTGACTTTAGGTATAGTTAGTATAATTGGATAAACTTGGTGGTTGTACGGAGAGCCATCAGTGTTGACACTGACGTTGCCGTCACCGATGCTGAGCGCTTGTCTACCTGGATCAAAGCTTAAGCAGACCGTCCCAACCAGCCGTAGGGTGACAGTGGTTCCCGTGTCCAAAAAGTGTGGTAATCACGGGGTATACACTAAATCGCCTTTGTAGGCCGTATCGCTGCGAGGCTTGGCCACTATGAGAGTAGCATCTGAGACATCTTCAGGACTTTAAACACCGGTCTCAAGTAAAGCCAGATTCGTGACGAACATTTTGTGTGTATTTCACATATTCATCCTCAGTACTATCTCAGGCCGGTTGTTACGATGTGTTCAGGTTGCCCGTTACTACAGCCGTTGCTTGGCTACATATGGTCCCTTCGCCTCCCAAAGCGGCAATTTTCAACGACCCATATGCTGACCCGTCGACTAGTAATTATGAATGGCATACGAATGTTGCGACATGAAATATGGCAGAGAGTTCCTGCCCAACACGCGGATATGACAGTCATATGTAAAAATCGAAGTTATTGGGGAAGAGATAGATCTAGGAGGGAAACACTGTAAGAACTACCGTACCTTGAAACACCTACGCAAGCACATAATACATATAGAGATGCTGCATTGGAGACTAACCTGTACGCTTTTCTCGCTTGATTGAGATCCTTAACCGCTACACACGCCGCACCTTTGCGCAGGTAACCTTTGATGAACTGAGGATCAAGATCAATGCAGGTATTACAGTCCTTCAGGGCTAGATTGAACTCCATGAGCTTAGTGTAACATGCGGCTCGATTGCTGTAAAGTTTGGCGTCGTTTGGATTGCGTCTTATTGCTTCACTGTAGAATTTCAAAGCTTCTGGATAGTTTCCCTGTTGGAAACAATCATTTCCCTTGGTTTTCTCAACCTCCGCGAGTTCTGGATTGATGTAAGCAAGGCGTTCTTGTTCTTTCAATTTACTATTTATGTCTCTTGCCTTCTTCTCAATTTCGGGCTGCCGACATTCGGACAGGGATTTATCGTAATATTTCTTCGCATTTGCGAGATCATTCAATTTCTCGTAACAATGGGCAATTCGGGCGTACGCCTTCGAAATCAATTTATATTCTGCCCTGTTTTCGCGTCCAACTTCAACTGCATGCTCACATGTTTCTATACACTTATCTAGCTGACCCATTTCGAAAAATACGGCCGCCTTGTTTGTGTGATACGTTATGCACGTGGGCTCCAACTCGATCGCTTTATTGTAATGTGCAAGAGCTTGTTCAAAGTCCTTCTTTTTATATGCAGCATTGCCTAATTCCTTCTCAGCAACCGCAGCCGTCACCGACATCCCGGAGGAGCAGATTTTTGGTCAGTCCGCACGCGCTAGGGCACGATTTATCCAGAAACGGCAGATACAGTAAAACCGAAGGTCAAGTTCACGCGCTCATTGCCATCGAAACAGGAGCATCATAGAGACCCATAATGAAAAAATTCGGGAAAGGGATGCAGTAGACAGGTCTCTCAATTTCTAGGGAGGGGGTGGCGAACAGGTTTTAGAATGGGTGCGTGTGCAGAAAATAAACAACCAATGTTATGCTCCACTCTAGTGTTTCTCGTATTTTTAAACGTACCTGAGGAGGGACTTGGAAGTCCAGCAAGGCAGTATCCGCTTTGGGAGTCATGATGAGTGGTGAGAAAGTCAGATTAACTGTAACTGGCTCTCCAGGTATGACTTTCGGGCGCCCAACACGGAATTCGAAGTCTGTAAATGGGGTGCTGTTCACATAAAGCAGGCAAGAGTGTATAAAGACAAAGCATGATAACAGACGTCTGTTTCAGCACCGGCTGCAGGAATTTCCGACACTAATAATGCGTAGACATCAATCAACAAGTTTCCTCCATGAGCACGCGCTGAAGCGCCGTACGTTCGAAATCGGTTTCGTTTTTCCCTCGTGCAACTTCGTGAAAGAATTGTTTCGTTGTTTGATCTATTCACAGAGTACACACGAGTAATTGTCTAATTTTATTACCCTAACAAAATATTTGAGAGATAACCCTTGATATTTTGCGCACACTTCCTATTTTACATCTAATCCTAAACGTGACATCAATTTACACCGACTGCCCGCTGCAGCCATTGATGGACCACAATAGATGTGGACGAAATGGCTGCCCGTCGAACGTCACACGCGGTATGCAATGCCAAACATGCTAGGCCTGGTGGCACTTTAAATGCACGGGTTTACAGGACGACCAGATAAGCCGACTAGCTAACCCCCCTGACCCGTTTGTCTGCGCCAGCTGCCTCCACGTTAAGGATGCAATGCATACCGCGGCCAAGAGGAGAGCCCCCAAAACGGTACCCATTCCCCAGTGCAGATTCAGAAAGACCACTGTCAGTGTTCCGCTTTAATCGGGATACTCGACGCGAGATTGGAGCGCCTTTCAAAGGCACTGGAGGACTCAGGCGCTAAGAATGCAGCGACCTGGACGAAAGTTGACAAGGAACTTTCTTCGCTGAACCAATACCTCGCGATACCCATATCGGGCCCCATGGCTGCGAAGAAAGTCATACAACTTTCTGACGCGGCTATAAAAACCGCCACAGCGTCTCTAGTGGACAGGCGCCTAAGGGAAAACAGACTGATAATCTGGGGGTCATTCTCCTGGAAAATCACGCCAGCGAAGCTGGCACAATCGGTCCTTAGCAATGTCCTCACCAAGCCTAATAAATCGCACCATGCAGAATAGCTACGCCAGAAGGGAAGTAAGGGAACTCTTGGACTTCTAGTCACTTTTTCTTCCTTATCTGACGTACAGAAAATCTTGGAGCGGGCTGGCAGCATTCGAGAGGCCAACCCAATGATCAGACACCCATCTGAGGGTGGTCCTCTAGACGCGCGTAAGCTTGGTCATAGGCCGATGAAACCAGCTGCGTCTCCGGACAGCAGTTTTTATTCGACCACCACAGGCCCCTCACCCACCAAGGGCAGCGACGCCCTGGAGGAGGCAAACCCCACATGCAAGCAGCGCCCAAACTACGTGGAGCTATCAACGCTTATCTCCGTATCAGAGAACACAGCTGCAGCCGTGCATTCCTCAACAAAATCACAGCCTCTGGAATGGACTGAGTCAGATTTGCGGGGACAAGAAGCGAAGCCAAACTCCAGTTCCATTCCGTCAAAAGTGGCCTCTCTGCTTGTGGACACAACCGTCGTCCAGGACCCCGACACCCAAAGCCATAAACAGGACTACAGCCATCCGGAAAATTCCTCGAACATTTAGTTGGCCAAGCTGATCGCCGGCGGATCGGGTGTCCACACAAACACGAAAGAAGAGCGACTGCAGCCAAGCAAGCCACATAAAGTTCGCCAGATTAGAAAACTGCTGGCTGGCTTCAAGGTCCAGTCCTCCGCGAAAACCAGCCTCTTGGGAGCGCCACCAAAATCATTACTTCTTGGTGCCACCACCCAGCGTTCAGGGCCTCACAGAGACACTGTTCCGGTCAAACAGCGCCAAAACACCCAAGGATCCAGAAAGGCGAACGCTTGCAGCAAATCTTTGATCAACAGCAAATCTGGTCGACGAAAAGGGGATGCTGAAAGAGCTACAAACATCATCGGTCGAAATTTTCGCCCACGGGTAAAACTCCGTCCCCCAGTGCCAAAAGGCCAGCGCAAACCGAGCTCCCACGGAACGTAAAAACCTCGCGGGCAAAAAGCACCCCCAGAACCCACAAAGACAGGAAGCAGACAACATTGCCTTAGAGGCGCCATTGGAGCCTTGGACTCAAACCCGGTGCACAACTATTAAGTCTGCTAACCAACCCGGTCACTCAACTTTCGGCTCCTCACCCTCCAAGGCAGCAGAGACAGTGTTGAAATGCTTGTCCAAAAACTGCCTCAGACTTCTCAACAAACTCGGCGATGTTAGACAGTCAACTTTCCTTGAATAACCGTCCATAATCGTACCCACAGAAACCTGGCTCACTCCAGATGTCTGTGACGCGGAGATCTCGATAGACGGTCACTCTATTTTTCGAGCTTACTCAAAAAGAGGGAGGGCTGGTGGGGTTAATCTGTACTTACGTGCGGCCCTACAAATCCCGATTGTCCTCTCTCGAGTCTCACGGGATTCAAGGGAAAATCCTTCGCTGATTCAAGGCGTTCCCATCAGAAAGGTCATTCCGAGTGATAATAGGTTCGACCTACTCTTCTCCGGTGCCGGTCTCCATTAGAATTCCTCAAGGCACCGTCTTGGGGCCACTCCTGTTTCTGATCTACGTCAACGACCTCCAGACATTCTTGCGAGTCCATGTCTACTTTTTGCGGACGACTTGAAATCCTGGAGTTCCCATGCCAGTGCTCTCCGATTTAGACGCTGCGAAGCAGTGGTCCTTGGACAGGCAACTTCCTCTGAATGATGAAAAGTGCGTCCATGTGTCGTTTGGAGGGGATTCATCGAATGCCTTTGTTATGCATGGTGAAAAGGGTCCAGAAAACATCAGAGGATAGATGCCAAAAAGGATTTGGGCATTTGGGTCTCCTCAAGCTTGTCCTTCTCACTACAACATGAGAAATCGGCCTAAAAGGCATTCGCCATTTTACGGATGATCCGACGCACCTTCTCCCGTGTTACTCGCATGGACTTCCAAATACTCTATGGGGCCTACGTCAAACCGCTCCTGGAATACGCCAACCAGGTTGTCTACTCAGGACGCACAAAAGACGCCCCCCTTATTGAGCGTGTCCAGTGGGCCGCTACGAAAATCTTTGCCGGCCCCAAATACGTGGACTACGAAACGCGTCCCGCGATGCTCGATCTCTTTCCCCTGGAGTACCGTCGCCTCCGAGGGGACCCGATTCTTACTTACGCCCTGTTTGAACAAAGCTTGGCAAACAGGTTTTTTACCGTCGACCCAGCAAACACACGGCTGGGACATAGTAGGGAAATTTTCAAGCTCAGAGCACACACATTCATTAGACAAAATTTTTTTCTCATTTCGGGTAGTAGGTGCGTGGAATGACCTTCCGCAGACGGTTGTCCACGCTCCTTCTAGAACTCAGTTTAAAGCACCATTAGACATTTATTTATGCAAATCCTCGCGCTGGCAGGCATACTGCCCCGCGCTGGGAACATAAAGAGCAGTGCTGCAACCTTTTTTCACTTGTGCCTTTCAGGTGAACGACAGCCACTGACCGACAAGAACAAAACCTACCCGGAAAACTTGGGCAAAAGCCTCGATCCTGTGTATCAATCCGTGAACCCGTGAAATTCCGCAGTCCATCATTATCACAATGCCATTAGCTCTGGCACTTCATCTAGCTGACCAACTTTTATAGAGCCTGATAAGTATTGCTGTTGTTGTGGACGGGCGCTGGTAATCGTCACGGGTCAGTAATTCTTCAGCTCTGTATTTGACCTTGCCGCACCAGCTCGTGTAATTCCTGGGCTTATGCCCCAGCCTTCCTACACGCGGTAGACCTGTCGCCACATCTTAATCCGCCTGCAAGGTTGGTTCAGAATCCGCATCTACTGAAGGCCCGGATATTCTTGCTGGTCTCCATTCCTGACCGAAACGCCCATGCTGCCATCTACGTCGCAGTAAAAACAGTAGAATTTCAAGTGATCAGGGATCATTCAGAAGACCTGGTTTTTTACGGCGATCCGCTCACAGGTAGCGAGAAGTACGCAGATTTGGTCCATAAGTGCGTTAAAGGCGAACAAAGCCATAAACTTCACCTTAAAGACCTGTCCATTTTGGTTAAGGCGCATCACATCACTGTGATGAACATTATTGATATTCTATTCATTGCTCTATTGATTATACCCTTGTTTTTATATTTCATGTGGAGTGCATATACGCCGATTCGAATTCATATGTGCTACTTGTTACGCCGTGCTGAATTTTGGATCTCTAGTTCGCCTGGTTATGCTGATATTCGCCGAAACTCGATTCCCACATTTCGCGTCGCGATTGGAACAATTCATCATGCATGCCGAAAGGGAACTATCAGATGTTAATTCAACTGCGCTGGACACAGACGATTTTTTAAATGGTTTGACTTATGTTGTCTTACAAAATCTGATATGGATGATATGAAACTAACAGCACACTCTCTACATTTTGTTGGCGAGGAGGCGTGTATTTATCCTGAATCTCTAATTGATATTTCCTACAATGCGTTGAAGGAGAAAGTTCTGTAACACTTCAAACCGATTAACTTCGTAGCAGCCAGAAGAGCTAGATCCGATTTGTTGACCCGCTCCCGTTCTCAGTCGGTTCATGATTTCGTATTGCAGCTGCAGATACAGGTAGCCGACTGTGACTACGGTGCCAATTTGAAGACCAGCTGCCGAATAAGCTCACTGCCGGCATTCAACTGCCCGGATGACAAC